TTTTTTTTTTTTTTTTTTTTTTTTTTTGCACATACGTATAAATGTGTATATATACAGACATAGACATAGATACACATATATATACACATATATTAGTGTATCTGTTCAATTTGGTGTCTTTTACTCACGACTGGTCCATCAGCCGTGTGCAGATTAGGTTGAGCATGTCCTTGATCTCTCTCAGACTGGAGCTGTGGGGGTCGTCCGGGCCTCTTAGGGCTTCAGCGTAGCTCCGCTGCTCCGGCTTGGGTCTGTGGACGTCTGGCTGTGGGGCTGATGACGTCTGCGCTGTCGAGGTGTTGTTACCCATCGCCGGGGCTTCTCTGGGTCCTGCCGGTTTCTTCCGCTGGTATGGGGGCATCAGGTCTTGGCGTTGCTGATGCTGACGGTGATGTTGGTGGATGGGATGTGGGTGTGGAGGCCGGGAGCGTGGGCGTTGGGGTTCAGGGTGTGGGTACAGCGGGCCAGGGCGATGGAGTCTCCAGGGCTCAGATGGATGCGGCGGGAAGACGCTGTGTGCTGATGCTGGGATGAAGCGTCTCGTTGGTTGAGGGTTGTTAGATTCTCTCTGACTCTTTGAGGGACCGCCAGGGGTTCGGCCAAGGGCAACATCTTTAAGATTTTTAGCAAACACATTCACACTGTCTCTACGCAGGTGGACGTGGTCATGGAGATTGTGAATGTCCAGTGTAGGGTGATGTGCCAGATGAACATTTGGCATTCCAGCACATCCGCGTGAGATGTCTGTGTTGACTCTCTGTATAGTGCGGGGGTGGAAATCGGTTCTGGGTAGGATGGTGGAGATGATTATTTTTGATGTTGGGAAAGTCTGTGTTGCTTTAATTGCCACTTGTGTAACTGATTGTGCCACTCGTTCCTGTTGTGTCCTCAGGTCATTTGTTCCCACATGTATGATGATGTGACTGGGATCACCAAGTGTTTCTTTGCTGAGTTGTTGAAGGGCACTCTCTGTGTTTGGGCACCAAAGTTTTAAAGATTTGTGGTTGGGAAAGAGCTGTTTTTCACTGATGAACCTGCCATTAGAGTCTATTAAGATGACTATTTCTGCATGGACGTGACTAGGTGTGCTTTCTCGGTCTTGTGTGTGGGCATCTATCCGTGCTGTTGGCGTGATAGTCTCAGGAGGCGTCAGGAGTGGCTGTGCTGGGGTCTGGGTGGCATTCGAGCCAGGCTGTATGACGCTTTCTGTCTGCTCTCTCAGGCTTTGCATTTCTCTTTCTCTAACGATCAGCTCCTCTCTGACACTTTTCACCTCCTCTCTGACACTTTTCACCTCACTGTTTAGGGTATCTCTGTCCTGCTGCAGCTTTTTTATTTCTCCTCTTAGCTCCTCAACACTAGTTTTAAATTCTCTTGTGAGCTGATGAAGTTTGTTTTCCAGTTGTTGTATGCACTCGCTGGATGTCGTCTGCGAGAGCACCAGTTCTCTGAGCTCCACCAGTTCGACCTCCTGTAGGGACAGACTGCTCCGCATCTGAGTGACGGACTGCTCCAGCTGTGTGTCACAGTCCAGGACAGGCTCCTCCTCCTCCTCTAGCTCCGCCCCTGATCTCTTGAGCTCAACATGGCTGCCTGTTCTCTCTGTCTGTTTCTCACTCTCTGCCAGTGCTTTGAGGCTGGTAAAGTTTGCCTGGACAGAGCTGAGACATGCTTCATTCCCTTGAAACATTATGGTTCCATTGTGGTATATATTTACAGTCAGAAATGCTTTGCTAGTGTCTCCTCCTTCTTCATGAATTTGAATTTGTCTCCCATTACAGATGCCGAGTTTTTTGAAGTTCTTGTAGTATTTGCAGATGCCTGTGTGCCAAGCATTGCAGTTTTCTGTGTGGAGCAGTAGATTAGTGATAGTGGACTTGTCTCCTTTTTGAACACAGTCAGCCATTAAAGTCTCTGGGTTTTTCTTGAGTAGATTGTGTTTATATGTTTTCTTGTCTTTTGCTGTCTTCATCTTCTGTGGGTATGTGATGGGTCGGGGGAGGGGCGCTGCTGCCTCCATTCTCAACTGCCACAACTGTCACTCACTGCTCTGTTGCTAACTTAGCTCTAGTCAACAAGTTATTCGTCTCTTATTCGTCTCTTTCTTATCTTATTATTTTCTAGTGTTGAAAATAATGTAGTTGAAGGTGTCTTGCCTGTTTGTTGAATGAAGTTGTTGGATGATTTCTGCTCTGTGGTTCTGCTGTCCTCTTTGGTGCTCAGAGTGCTGCTGCTCCTCAGTTGCTTATGTTCAAAATGTGTAAAAACTTTGTTTAAAAGAAATAAATAACTGATTCACAGTTATCCTGTGATTCTTTTTGTTTGTTTTTTCAGTTTAATGTAGGTTTTGTCGAGTTTGGTTCTCTTCTAGAGGTGAAAAAATCATTGAATTTTAAGAGCTAAAGTGAAACATGACTTCTCTCCTCAAAAAACTCTCTCTCTCTCACACACACACTCACTCATACACTCACTCACTCACACACTCACTCACTCACACACT